TAAAAACACACAAAATAGATAATTTGACCAGATTATACTTAAAATAATATGCGTCCTTTCAAATATATAAACAGAATATTAAAGCGGGAAAGCTGAAATACTTGTTTGGTTTGTTATTACGAAAAGAACAGACCCTGGGATTAAAAAAACAAAAAACAAACAAACAAACCATTGTTATTGGCTGTTACAAATATTACAAATTTATTTATTTTTATTCGCCAAACTTCCAACTTACAACAATTTACAAGTATGACTGATCAAAATTAAGTCAGGATAGCCCACGAAAGCTTGAGAGCTTAATTCCAGTCATACACGTAACAAATAGTCAAAAAAATAGAAATATTTACAGACAGATGAGATTTAAAAAAAAAACTTATTAAAGATAATAACGATAATAATAATAATAACCACATTAAACTGATGATTTGATTTGATTTTATTTTATTTATTCATCATCAATAACATCAGTGATTAAACATTTGAATACATCGTGAATGGTACATGTTCATAAATGAATATTATAGATCATATTAAAGAAAAACCTAACAAAGTATTGATATGCTAGACATATGTCTTTTCTCATAGAATATAGAAGGTGATGAAAAGGAGCCAAATAATAGCACATGTGCTAGTCGAGTCTGGCCCCTGTTCTTAGCACACACTTGGCAAAAATAAATATATCATTATCAAAAAATAAAACTTGACAGTAGAAGTATACATGTTGAGTAATACCGTAGCACAATTTCTACACTCCAAATATAATTATGAAGAGGATATACCAGGTTAAAAAGTCATAGATACATGTATCTACAGATTATTTATACAAAAAATTGCATTTTTTTGACAAAAAAAAAACAACAAAAATGTAATATGGAGATTATTTACAATATATACATGTGTACTTGCATAATTCAATCACTTATTCATCAAGTAATCGTTGAGATGTTTACGAAAAGTGTTTCTAGACCCTTTGTTTTTGATTTCATCGGGAAGTTCATTCCATAATCGGGTTCCTACACAAGTTACTGAAAATTTGCCTTGTGTTGTTTTATACAGTGGTATACGTAGATGGCCCTTTTCTCTTTTTCTTGTATTGTATCTATGCTCAATTTTATCACAATAATCCGTCAAACAGTGAGGTAAATTATTATGTACTAGGTCATACATAAATGTACATAGAGACAACTCATAGAACTTGTTAATATCTAAGATTTTCAATTCGTAAAACAATGGTGCTGAACGACTCATAAAATGGCTAAATGTGATTGTCCGTATGGCCATCTTCTGTGTATACAGTATGCAATTTAAGTGAGACTTGTAAGTGCTCCCCCACACTTCAATTCCGTATGATATATGAGGTTGAATAAAGGTTTTATACAACAACACTAGGATATTTCTAGGCACAAAATGCCGTAAGCGGAAGAGGATTCCTACTTTTTGTCTGATGCATTTATTAACCATTTGTATGTGGGGTTTCCAAGTCAAGTGTTTATCAATCTTTATCCCAACAAAGAGCGAAGAATCAACTTCTATTATTTCAGCTTCTGATATAGCCAGTTGCCCTTGAACATTAATCTGCCGTCTCTGGTTTCTTATTAGCATATAACTCGTCTTTTGTAAATTAATTGTCAGTTTATTAGCATTACACCAGTCTGAAACAATTTGAAGATTTGTGTTCACTTCAGTCATATCAATTTCTTTTTGCCCTTCAGGAAATGTATGGAATAAGTTTGAGTCATCCGCAAAGAGTCGAAAGTTAAAGTAACGTGTAGCAAATGGCATATCATTAATATAAAGTAGGAAAAGCGTTGGGCCTAGGACAGAGCCTTGCGGTACACCACATGTTAAAGATAGAAATGATATTAAGTACAAGAAAAGAGCAAGCAGGAAAAGAAAAAACGAGGAGGAGGAGAAGGAGGAAGAAGAGGAAAATAATGATGATAATGTGGAATTTCTTTAACGTACAAAAAACATAAGTATATACAAAATTAAAAAGTATGAAGCGGCAGAAGAAAAAAGATTCTGTATTCAGGCTATTTTAATCATATAAAATATCATTTGGCTCTCTCCTCTGACTCTCAAGTATTAGGTATTCCTTTAATTTCCTCTTAAATGAGCGAACTCCATTACGGATTTCATAATGACTGTTTTGACTGGGCTTGTCTTATACCAAATGAGAGTTGGTTCGATAATGCAGCACCTTCATCAAAGTGTACCCATTTGGGTTCATGTAAATGGTAGTACAAGTCCCAAATTGGCCGGACTCTGAGTTTTATGATTATGGAATGACTGGGATGTTGGGAAGAGTTCAAGTTCAAGTTCAAGTTCATTTATTCAAAACCACACAAAACATGAAATAATCTTTAACATTTTCTTCCTCTTCCAACATCGCTGAAGTGGAAGTCCGTGACCATCGTCTTGATAAGTTTGCGCCAGTTTCCCAAGCAGATGTACTGAAGATCATCAAGTCGCATAAAATGAAATCCTGTGACTTAGATCCTCTACCGGCACCCATTCTTAGCCAATGTATAGAGCTTCTGGTTCCGGCCATCACGGACATAACCAACGACTCGCTAGAATGTGGAGTTTTCCCTTCAGCACTCAAGTCTGCTTTGATTCATCCCACCCTCAAACGACCATCTTTTGATGCAGAAAATTTGAGAAACTTTAGACCAATCTCAAATTTGCCATTTTTGGGCAAGGTAGTAGAACGAGTAGTCTCAAATCAATTTACTGAATACCTTACTGCAAATTCCCTTCTCGCATCCCGACAGTCTGCCTATCGTAAAAATCACAGCGTGGAAACTGCGTTACTTCGAGTCCAAGACGATATACTTCGTGCTTTGGATACTGGAGATGATGCGATTCTCATACTGTTAGACCTAACATCAGCTTTCGACACGGTCGATCACCGTGTTCTTATATCCAGGTTGGAAACACGTTTTGGCGTCTCTGGAACTGCTACCAAGTGGTTTAAATCTTACATCTCTGGACGATATCAACAAGTGATCATCGATGGCTCACGATCCGATCCTACTCTGCTTAGGTGGGGGTGCCACAAGGTTCCGTCGTCGGCCCTGTACTTTTTACATGTTATACGACACCCTTAGAGGACATCATTAATTCCCACGGTTTCTCCTCGATGATATATGCGGACGACACCCAACTATATATTACTGTTAAGTCTGGTCAAATTCTTCAAATGTTACCGAAGCTGGAAGATTGTCTACATGCCATTCGCTCCTGGTTGACTGAAAACTTTCTGCTCTTGAACGACAACAAGATGGAAGTGCTACACCTGTTTTCTCACCGAAGAAGAAATACAATAGAACTCCCTCCGATTCAAATAACAAATGGTGTTGTAAATTCCTCCAAAACAGTTGTTAACTTAGGTGTTACGTTTGATCAAAACCTTTCAATGTGCCCCCATGTCAATAGTATCTGTCGTAAAGCATCCTTCGCCCTGAGAAAAATTGGTAAAATTCGTAAATTCCTCTCCAAGTCATCCACTGAAATCCTCGTCCACGCATTTATCAGTTCACTCCTTGACAGTTGTAATAGCCTGCTCCATGGAATTCCGGAAAAAGATATGGCCAAGCTGCAGAGAATCAAAAACTATGCAGCACGTCTAGTGTCTCTCACCAAAAAACATGACCATATTACACCAACCCTTAAACAATTGCATTGGCTCCCCATTCAATTTCGCGTCCAGTTCAAAGTTCTTCTCTTAACCTTCAAGTCTCTACATGGTCATGCCCCAAATTATCTTTCTGAACTGATTCAATTATATACACCCAATAGGCCCCTTCGTTCTGCAAATCAAACTCTCTTGACCGTTAAAAAAGCAAAAACAAAATACTTTGGTGATAGGTCCTTTTCATGCTCTGCTCCACGTTTGTGGAATTCTCTTCCAGCCTCCATTCGTTCCATTTCTGATATTTCTCTGTTTAGATCAAAATTAAAAACTTACCTAATGGAAAATGCATATTCAACCTAGTTCTTAAATTGTTACCTAGTTCTTAAATTGTTACCTTACCTTGTTATCTTATGTTTCATAATTTCACTTCATATTTGTTCTCTTGTCATTACTCTGTCTAGTTTTAATTGTATCAATATTGTAAAGCGCTTTGATATAAATGTCTTATGAAAAGCGCTATATAAGTAAAAGTTATTATTATTATTATTATGAAAAAGAGACTGGTAATAGTACATTAATCAACATATAATAACTTGATTACATCATTAAGTGAATGGTTTTAGGACCCCTGTAGAAGCTAAGCTTGTAAGTGGGGCCCTATAGTCAACAAAATACATACATTAACGATATGGCAAGGTGAATAAAAAGAATGTAAGGTTTATACAGGGATGGAAACAAATTAAGCTACATAATATAGAACACAAACAAATATTCACACACACGCACACACTCACACACACACACACACACACACACAGTCCTTAGTGGTCTATAAGCATTTGAGAATGAGAAATTATTAAGATACAAAGTAGAATTATGTCAGTCTTCCAAGTAGGTACGTTTTAGATAACCTTCTAAACCTAGAAAAAGTTGTACTATTTTTTTTATATCACCAGGCAAACTGTTCCATTCTTTGATGCAAGAGATATGGAAAGAGGTCAAAGTGATATTTGTTCTTGCAAAAGGCTGATGAATAAGACCCCTTTGACGTGTATTATAATTATGAATTTGTGAGTTTTTACGGAATAAATCTTTTAACGTACATTCATGAGGCATAGACTGAAGTTAAAACATAAACAATACGCAATTAAACGACACCAGTCCATTTAGTGGTAACATTCTTAGTCAGAGGTACAATGGAAAACTTGGATGTCTATAATTAGAATTAGTAATACGCCTTATTGCCTTCTTCTGCAATACTCTCAACTTATCAAGATATGACTTAAAAGTGTTTCCCCAAGCAACATTACAATATGTCAAATAAGAAAGAATAATACTATTATATAATGTTATCAGCACTCTTTCAAGGAAAATAAATTTCAATCTAAAAATGACACCTACACTTCGGGACAACTTAGTGCATACAACATCTAAATGATTCTTCCAAAATAAATGCTCATCCATAGTTAACCCTAAGAACTGAACATTTTCACTAAGCGCAACATCATGGCCTCCAACATGAAGAAAACTAATACCATCTGGAAGCTTATCCTTTTAGCGAAAAATAACACATTTGATCTTTTGAACATTCAACAATAACTTATTACAACAATACCATGCATACAGATTCTGAATCTCTTGATTCGCAATTAGTAATAAATCTTCAGCCTTCTTATCAACCAGCAGCAAGCTGGTATCATCAGCAAACAGTGAGTATGAGAATAATGTTGATGAGTGTTTTATATCATTTATATAGATTAAAAACAACAGGGGACCAAGAACAGAACCCTGAGGTACACCATATTTGATAGAAGCAAGTTGGGAACTAGTACCATCCACCACAACAAATTGAGTCCTGTCAAAAGAAATAGTTTTGGAACCAAGACAATGCTACACCACGTATTCCATAATGCTCTAGTTTCCTGAGGAGGATACCATGGTCAATGGTATCAAACGCCTTAGATTGGTGTAAGAATATCCCCATACAATACTTGTCTCCATCAATAGCTTTTATGATATTACTTGATAAATTAAACACACCCAATTTAATTGTTTTAAAGTACAAAATGGCCCATGTAACAGCTCTCCGTGACATTTCAAGAACTATTAGCATAAAACAAGTGGCTAGAATTTAGAGATTACTAAATAAATCTGTTTTGCGAGATGTGTGACTCTTTTTTTTTACTGCGTTTCTTATAATATTATTATGAATATCATACATCATTATTTTGGTTTTATTTGTACGGCATAAACTGAATCTATAGCCTATTTGATTAAAACGTCTTTCGTCCTGCTTATATAAGATTAAATTTGGAGAAAAAAAATATGTGTATGGTGGAATGTATTTCAATCAGACATTCGCAGTGAAACTGTATCCAATATCAATTCACGTCTCCTTCCAAATTGCAAATTCTCCAGAGTCGAAAACGATTTACGCTTTCCTTGACGTCAAACAAATATGTATCTTGACCCCAAGCATATCCTTCACATATGACGTCATAAAGCGATCTAGTACCTGCGTTCGTGTGCGATATTTTATTTTGTTTCAATATGAAGAAAATATATACACTGCCCTTTTTTGTCACAACAGTGTGACTTCTAAGATTGATAAAAGTTGCAGAATATGTTTCAAAGTTATATTTTTCCTTACTCCACGTATACTTTACCACAACCCCCTTTAACATCTAACCTCTTTGAAGAGTAGTGTTCATCAGTTTTCTATTGGCTTGACACTCAATAAAAGTTGTTCTCAGTGATCCTTAATGCTGTTCTTTCGCTTTCTCAGGCAGGCCGTTGTAATGATGACTTGGACGACTACGATTGCGTGTACGATGCCAATGATGATGAAGACTTTTGTGTACGACTGGGTTAAGTCAAACAGAGATCCTGCATTATAACATGAACAAGAAATACAACACCGTTAATCAATCAGATTAATCTTTTTTATGGAAAAAACCTCGTTGATATCTATGATAGAAGAATGGAAACTGGGTATTAAATACTAACTATTTACAGCTGCATATTAAGTAAACCCCTCCACCCTCTCCCACACACCCAGTCAATCTGGCATATCATAAAGAACGCACGGAGGAAATTAATAACTTTACTCCCCTCCTATCCCCACAACACCCACTCCCTCTTCCTAGGGGCTCATTTAGACCCTAAGATAAAGCAACAATTGGAAAGCTCCTTTTCTTGTTTTGAGGCACCCAAAAATTCATCTATTCATTTGGTATAAGGACCCATATGGCACAAGAAGTAAAAGTTCTTATATAAGAAAGGTTAGTAATTATATCGGAAAGTCCGTTTGATAGTTTGTTATGCATAGTATTACGTTACTTATACTCAATGTACCATTGTCTTAAGTTTGTTTTCGGCAACAAGTATGTTTCAGAACAGCATTATTTGGCTGAGGTTGACATGATGGAATAAAGCACACAAAAAACTTACCTATCAAAGAAAAGCTATCTTATTTTGCTATAAAAAGGTGTAAAACTAAATAAGAAAAGTGTAATTATACCTCAGGATAAGAATCAATGGCACTATCTCTTGGAAGAGCCACTTAATGTTTCATGAGGGGTGATTTCCTTGATATTTTTTAAAAGAGGGGTATGCCATCTATTCTGACCCCTTCCCCCTGCTCTAACAAATACCTGAGATGTATCCGGCTGCTGACGCACCGAATCCGAAAAAGAACGAAACAAGTCCAATGGCAAGGCTGAAGTTATCTTGGTCTACCAGGGTTTCCTTCAGAACGGCAAAAAACAAAGAATCTTCTACGAAAAAGAAGAGCCCTTGGACAAATGCTAATCCAGCCCTTGTCGAATAATCTGACCCGATAAAATCCAAGAGAAATGATATGGTGATTGGGATTCCAGCAACGATATAGATGTAGAAGGCATTGACGTCTTTGGTGACCAGGATGATGAATACTGTCCTTCCAATGATACCACCAATACCGGCGATTGATGAGAGGAAAACGGCTCGAGATTGTTCGAAACCAAGTTGTTCTGCATGGGGTACCAGGAAAAACATCCAAGAGTAGTAGGCATAGGCGAAGAGGAAAATGGTTAGGAGATTGAACCAGAACAACGGTTCCTGAAACAGAAGTGACTTCCAGCCAGACTCGTGCCTTAGAGATGACTCCTTTTCTTCCCCAAGTACGTTTCGCGGGGTATCGGTATGGAGGTTGGGGTTGCCATCGATAAGTGGTAAACTTTCCGCAGTTCCTATCTCAGTCTCAATGCCAAGATCTTGTTCACCTCTGTCTATCTCTTCAAAAGAAGAACGCGTTATTGATGCGCATCGTGTAACTGCAGCATATGATGTTGCTGATGAATTCCCACCCGTCGTGCCTGTTTGGTCTTTCTTCTGCCTGCTGCATGTCTGGAAATGATTCTCCAATTCATTACGTCTAACCCTTTCCTTATCCTGCACATCAGATGGACCCGACCCATCTCCTTGAACTTGATAGAATCTTGCACAGGGGTTCCTCAAGATGGGTTCTCGTATGGCTACTGCACACACGATCAGGTGCAGGGTTATCCCTCCTAAGATTAGGAACGTTCCCTCATACCCGTAGGCTTCCAGTGACTGTTCAGTGATCAATGGTAGGAGCATTGTCCCAGCGGTATAGCCGTACAGAGATATGGTATTTATTAGGACGAACCTATCAGGGTAAAAGTCATTTACCACGAGCATAAAAGGCATGTACACGCATGCGATGCCAACTCCTGCAGACAGGATAGAACAAACGAAATGATAAACGTTCTAATTTTTCGCATTGTGACTTCTAGTTGGACTTTCTTGTCATCTTTACTGCCTATTCAAATTTTTAAAAATTCCGTACTCGGAGTATGGAAGCTTTAAAATGACTATAGCCATAGAACATTCAGTGCGATAATTAACGAACCTTGTTTGAGTTTCGGATTTGTATAGGAAACGTATAAGTTTAATACTCACAAACAACTTCTCTTATCTAAAAAACAGATGACCTTGATGGTGCATTGTAAGCTCATTGTCATCCCCTATTCCTTTTCTCGAATAGAAAATATAAAACTAATATAACAAATTCGTCCTTGTTTTCACGAAGTGACGGTAGCGAGGAAAATCGTAACGCAAAGTGAATGCAATTTTTTTTCACTACCGTCACTTCGTGAAAACAGCGACGAATTAATCAGTTCTTAGCATTTGGTAATATGGTGGTATTTGTTAACTTATCAAGCATTAGATATTCCTTTTCTCGAATAAAAACAAATGATCTGAATCATCACGTTCATGAGATAAATAAATAAGGCTTGTTTGTCAGGAAGAGTACCATACCTGTCAGAGCCAGGCACAGGCCTACAAGTATTGTTTTAGCAAGGAAGCCAGAAAGTACCAAGCATACGCCACTCATTGCACCTCCGATCAAGGCAACCAAACGACGACTTTTTCTCTTTAAAATCAAAGATATAATCGGGCCTGAAAAGAGAAAGCATAGTTTATTTTGTTGAACATAAATATGAAAGTCAACATGAGATTTGAATGTCAGAGTATCGTCAAACGTGACACCCAACACTTATATTCTGATACACATTCTAATAAAGTATCATTAATTATAACATATATTTGTTGAACCCGCAAGGTTTTCAATCGTTGTCGAGATCCAATTAAGAAGCATCACTTTCGTTTTGTGTAAATCATTTAATACCAATCTATTCTTAGATGTCCACTTGTAAACTTCGTTCATTACAGAATTAGGTTGACTTTCAATCGATTCTAGAGTACTACCACTTACATACAGAGTTGCATCTTCAGCAAACATTTCTCAATTTTTCCTGACTTGATACTAGAAACCAAATCATTAATCATGCCACAGGGCTAATCCCCATTGTGCTAATCCCCATTGTGCCAAGCCCCAAATCACGGAGTGCCAAGTTTATATTGAGATAATCTGATTAACGCGATGGTTTTATGAATAGCGCGTGCAAAACACACATTACACTACAATGAGCATGAACAATAACTGCGACTACGAAAGTATGCACTCACGCACATGGCACCATAGCAATGGTTTGCTCGCATGTACAAAGCACTATAACGATAGCGTGCATGCAGCCTCATGACAGGCTGTGAGTTAATATACACTGTGGGTCATAATGGTGGAATAATTATTTTTACCCCAATTTATGAAATGATTTTGAAAATGATTTATTCCTAATAGATCTAGATAATAGTATACATTCTCAGATTTTATTGAATAATAATTTGTGAGTGTTTGTTTTGCGTGACTGCTAAAGCAAGTGTGTGCTACTATGCTAATTAACTAGGGATCATACGTCCTTAAGCATTAACTGACAGTAATGAGGATTAATTCCCCTTGTGACATCATCTGTCAGTCATCAATGAGCTAACTTGAGAAAGTGGTATGTATCTTTGCCGAAGTCGACCACCTGTTACAATACGTAATACAATAGCAACATACACTATGAAAATGACAGACAAAGAAAGCGGACAAAATATACAGTTCCTCAGGTAGACAAAGGAACATCCCTTCACTGCTATTATGTAGAAAGGTGAATATGCATGTGACACCTGTTCTACACATTTTTACATAATAGCAGTGAAGGGATGTTCCTTTGTCTACCTGGGGAACTGTATATTTTGTCCGCTTTCTTTGTCAGTCATATTCATAGTGATAAAAGTTGCTATGTCAGACATTCTGTAGCATCACCAGTAAGACAAAAGCAATGGTGATGTATTGTACATATGTATGGAAGCATTCAATTCTATTATGAACGTGTGCTAAGCTGGGGAAAATTACATACCATTGTCTATTCTAGAATATTAGTTTAGTCTGACATGTCTGACATAGCAACTTATATGTTGCTATTGTTTGTGGTATTGTAACAGGTGGTCAACTTTGGCAAAGTTACACGCCACCTTCTCAATTTAGCTCATTATCGACTTTTAGATTTGCACGTCGACAGCTTTGACTGCAACGTGTTACGTCATTTTAAGGCACTGCGCATGCGTCACGTCGTCTCAGTCGGCGATCGAGAATGCGTCAACCTTGATTTTCCAAAATCTAGTACGGTACTAGTATATGCCGCGTGCGCATAAAATATACAGTACCTCAAGTAGATAAAGGAACATCCCTTCCCTGCTTTTATGTCAAAATGTGTAGAACAGGTGTCACATGCATATTCACTTGTTCTACACATTTTTAAATAATATCAGTGAAGGGATGTTCTACCACAGCAATAAACCATTTTCGTAATGTAACCAAATTTGATGCATAAGTCTTTGTAAAGTGCCTCAATTCAAATTATTTTATTCACCTGATAAGAATAATAGTATTTCAATAGACAGAATCCGAACTGCATACATTAGTTGTTGCCAGGTTGGACAAACATTGTGGCTTGACCTACTTAGCAACTCTTAATATATGCAGTTGCATTCTGACTATTGAAATACTATTATTCCTATCAGGTAAATGAAATAATTTTTATTGAGGCACTTCACAAAGACGTATGCATTAAATTTGGTTACATTACGAAACTGGCCTATTGTTGAGGGTAGAATGAGGAACTGTATATTTTGTCCTCTCTTTGTCCGCATGTTTATAGTGTTACTTCCTGCATGCATGTATATCGCCGAGTGCAATCTAAACAAATTCTAATTGTAGTCAACATGGGCAGTTGAGTACGTTGACACGCATGATCAGTCGGCGTTCGTCGTGTCCTCGTCCACTCAATCTTGAATACTATTACTGTCTGCATTGTCAGGATTTCGAACTGAGTCACTAGATCCATTGAAGTGACTAGCCCTCAGGCCAGACCGGGGAAGGCCAGACCGGGGAAGTAAAAAAGGGTCTTATTCTTTATTCATTTGTACGCAAGCTAGCCCAGATTGAAACAGAAATATGCCTTTTTCTTAAAAATTACCTTACAGTTTAGAGACGCGGGGCTTTGGTACAATTAAAACCTCGAAAATTCGTAAAAGCTTTTGAATTCGTAACGGCTATCGAGGCCCTGTTAGGGGTCCTGAGAATATTTACCTCTATCTCTCTCTGCTAAATAATCCGACAATAGAATCAACTAACCGGAATCAGTTGTTTAATACATTTATCACGAGTCCTGACATATCAATGTGTTACTGCTTGGAATAAAACCCTGCGTGCAAAAACTAATGGACTTGAAGCGTGCCGTGGCTGTGAGCACATTTTTTTTTTTTTTTGGTCCACGGAAATTTAAAAATTTGTACCCCCCCCCACCCCCTTGAGCGCCAGGGGGGGGGGGAGGGGGGCCCAACCCCCTAAAAAGGTAAAAATGTTTTTACATGATTTTTTTTTCTCAAGGGGGGGGGGGCGGCCCCCCCCCCCTGGATTCGCCACTGATCATTCGAAAGGGCATTTCAATGAGGCCAGTTTGTTACCATGGCCATCTGTGTGTAATGTACTGCAAACATTTAATGGGCTGTTAAGTAATGCACAGTAAATTGATCACTTTGAGGTAACTGCATGTAATCTACTCGAGGTTGCAGGAGCACGTAAGAGAAGTGACGACGATGAGCAATTAGGGACTTTTAGATTGAGCGGACGAGAACACGACGAACGCCGACTGAACATGCGTGTCAACGTATTTAACTGCCCATGTTGACTACATGCGATATACATGCATGCAGGAAGTAACACTATGAACATCACGGACAAAGAAAGAGGACAAAATATACAGTTCCTCATTCTACCCTCAACAAAAGAACATCCCTTCACTGCTATTATGTAAAAATGTGTAGAATAGGTGAATATGCATGTGACACCTGTTCTACACATTTTTACATAATAGCAGGGAAGGAATGTTCCTTTGTCTACCTGAGGAACTGTATATTTTATGCGCACGCGGCATACTAGTACCTTGAGCATGTAAAGGCGCTATATAAATATCAATATGTATGTACGCAACGACTCAGTCAGCCGCTGAATAAGCGGGGGGGGGGGGGGGGGGGGGGGTAAGCGTACACTTTTTTTTTTTTTTAGAGTCTCAAAAAAATCGCAACGTCTCAACCAGCCGCTGAATAAGCGGGGGGGGGGGGGGGGGAGGGGGGGAGGGGGGGGGAGGGGGGGGGGGTGGTAAGAGGACACTTTTTTAATTTTTTTTTGGTCTCGAATTTTGGAAATTTGACATTTTGTCCAGTTGGGGGGGGGGGTAAGGTCAACTTTTTAAGGTCAACCATTGGCATTTTTTTTTTTTTTTTTTTTTATTAAAAAACAAAACAAAAAAAAAAAATTCTCAAAAGGGGGGGGGGGGGTTTCAAAAATAACATACATAAAACATACACATAAAAAAAACTCGAGGGGGGGGGGTGGTTTAACCCCAAAACCACCCCCCTGCGTACGCGCCTGTGTATGTACTAGATTTAGGAAAATCAAGATTGACGCATTCTCGATCGCCGACTGAGACGACATAACGCATGCGCAGTGCCTTAAAATGACGTCACTCGTTGCAGTCAAAGCTGTTGACGTGCAAATCTAAAAGTCCCTATTGTCACAGGAGCATGTGCGGTATAAACGAAAATACTTTAACACGATCTCAAAGACTTTCAAGAAAATAAACTTAAATACCTCCAATAAAAATCGGTTTCTGATTATGTAGTAGGCCTATGTAATTTTCATGTTCGCACATTTCATAAGGCGTCGGGCAAGCCAGGCTACTCAAATTCCCCGAGGCTTATTTTTTATTTCGAAAATCTTT